GGCGAAATTTCTGTCAGATCCCGCCGGCGGGACCGCCGACCCCAGAGGAATTTAATATTCTAATCTAATCAGTTAACGGTTAATGTTCGGTTAACGAACGGCGGTTGTCGGTTGGGAAAATTAATCGAAATGAGCATCCCTAGTATAAACGCAAACAGCTGACATTGCTGTAATTTAAATGATATGTTTATTTATATAAGATAATATTAACTTCTGGAAATTCAGTTGTCATAGGCCCCCTAATTTTCTGGGGCCCAGGTGGCTGCCTACCCCTTGCCTAATGGTAAATCTGCACCTGGATGGAGGTGTAGTGAACCATTAAAAGGCTGCCACGCATTTCCTCTCTGTTCCAGAATCGGGGGTACAACCCTGCATCAATCACTAGTGAAGTCATAGAACAGGAATATCTGAAGGACAGCTCTACTGTTATGGAGTTTACTGCAGGCTCACAGTCATATCAACTTAATTTCCAAGGTATGTTGTTGGTTCAGATGGTCCACACCAGCTGCATGAGATGTTGTCCTCACAGTTAGTCATATTATCTTGTAGGCTGGGGTTTCTTTAGTTTCTTTTTTTTTGCTTTGTTTGGGTTCTGTAATCATTTGTTTGTCTTAAAGAGTCTGGACCTCATTTTCTGTTTTTTACTCAAATGTTCATGTCTCTAATTTCCATCTGTAAAGGCAGACTGTGGCTTTCGAGTGTAGGATTCTTGACCTGGGATGTCTGATAATAATAGGAGCAACAATGCTAATGTCAGAATTTGTCTAATCTCTTTTGCTTTTCAGACATGATCCAGACAAACAAACGATATGGCACCAAAAAACTGGTCCAAAGACGACCCGTTTTTATGTCTTCTACGGATGTACAGAAAATCAAAACAAGGTAATGCAGAGCAAAGGAGTTGCATGTTGCTTAATCTGGTTTGTAGGTAGAAATGTTAGATGGAAATTCATTTCATGTTCCTAAAGCCAGATTTCGTAGCTGACGATCAGTGCGTCTAGGGCAGACCCTTGTAATCAGTTTGGGCTGTACTTGGCCAGGCCCAGGGGGTAAAGAGCTGGTCACCGGGCACTCGCCTCGGTGCTTTCTGCCGGCCTACCTCCAGGGCGGCGCCCCAGCCTCCCCAATCTGGGTGAATTATCCTTGCTGAAACTTTCCATGGGAGTCTTTATGAATTGCACTTAGTCTAGCCGCTCACCTAGGACCAATATGCCTGGGGAGACCCTACCTGGGGCAATTGCCCCCGACAGCATAGCTCCTAGGATCATAGAGGCCCGCAAACCCCTCCACCATGATACGGTGGTGATTCATGGAGGGACATTAGCTGAAATGTAAACGATTAATGGGCGCTCCATGACTGTGGCCTTCCACTCCATTTTCCTAAGCTTGTTTCTCTGCTTTTATTTCAGCAAAAAAACAGTGTACAGGCAACCCAATTCCAAAGCCTTACCAGCACACTGGGATAAGTCCCAGGTCACAGACACAGGATACAAGGTACAGTTTTCATTTGTGTGACGGCATATTATGTATCAGCTGATGTTACCAGACCAGTATGAAAGGAAAGGTTGGTCATGAAAATGCACTTTAATATTTTGAATTGCCTGTAACTATTTTACACTTTGGTTTATTATGCTTTTTGAAGAAAGTCACTCTGCTCCCTTCCTCGAGTGAGTACAAGGAAATCCTGGCTCTCTTCAGGACAACCATGTTGGGCTTCAGTGTACGCCATATTGAAAGGATTCAGAACAAGGCCTTATGGGAAGTTTTCCAGTGGTGAGTTTTTCCGGTGTCTCGTTAATAGCAAAGCCATTGGAAGTCATTGAAACCATCACTTGTTACTGTGCCTTCAGCTACCCTCTGGTTTATCTCACTGTGCAACATCTAATGAGGAACAGAATCTGTGTCTGGTGCACAGATATGTATTAATAAGTCTGTTAATGCCAGGAATTTGTTTTAGCTCTATCTGAAACCTGCTGTGGCTCATTCGGTAGTACTGCTGCTGAACATCTCAGAAGGTTTTGAAGCCCACTTCTCTAAGTGTGGAGTTTTCATCATTTCCCTGTGTCATACAGGTTTCCTCTCTATGTAGAAAGATACACGGTTAGGCTAATGCCTGTAGTGCGTTTGTGTATATCTGTCCTGCGAAATGTACTCCAGCATTGAGCCTTAAACTATCCAGATCCCACTGTGACCCTGTGTAAAGGCCTGAGGCTGTTCTGGATCTGCAGAGTACCTTAGGGAACACTTTAGCTGCAAGAAACATTGTCATTTTGTGATTATTTAAGATGATTCACGTTGGTCACACAGACACACTGGATTAAGGCACTCCTTGCCAATTCTCTGAGGTCTAAGCTATTATTCATAAATGCATTGTTTTAGGCGCCATTTATTGGGAAATGTCTAAACCAACAGAAGCCCATGAACAGAATTACCTGTCGTAACTATCATGGTGATAATGGTCTCACAGCACATACAAGATCGTGTCCGGTAGAAGTCAATGGCGATTGAAATATGTTTCCAAGATTCTAATACATAATATTTGAATTTGAAAACTATAAATAAATACATATTTATTGAAGAAAGTCCAGTACAAATGAGCAATATCCTACAGATGTCAAGGCACACAATGTCACATTTCATTTTTAGGCAGAAAGAACTGATGAGAAAAAACAATGGTGGAAGAGATTGTGAGAAACTCCTTTTCCATGGAACTGACTCCAAACACGTGGATGCCATCTGCCAGCAGAACTTTGACTGGAGGATCTGTGGAACACACGGGACGGCCTACGGCAAAGGTAAGCATTAGTGTAACGGGTGAAGTGTCTTACCTTGTTTACATTTCTCACGATCAGTTTGAAACACACCTACAGTGTTGTGGATTTGAGATCCAGTCTTGTAGCTCAGTAGGTTAGGCCTCTGTGCCTGCGATTGGAAGATCACCGGTTTGAGTCCCATCCTCGGCAGAATAGTCGCATCTTTGTTGGGCCTTTAACCCCACAAAATGCGTCAGCGGCACCAGACCCCAAGCTGGCAATGAGCCAAAGCATTATGACATGTGAAGCGGATAATGTTGACTGCCTTGTAAAATCGGTGCGTGTCAATGTCTGGGATATATTACATGGTCAGCTGATATTTGATGCTCATAGGCTATACAGTGCATGGAGCCCTGCTGCAAATGTGGCCATGCTACATGCTACATGCTACACGCTACATATGCCCAGATGCTAGACACACACCCCACCCTCTGCATGATGCGATTGGAAACGGAATTCATCGGAGCAGACGACCTTTGTCAGTTGCTCCAAGGTCCTGTTCCGACACTTGTGTGACCATTGTAGGTGTTTTCAACAGTGCACAGGAGCCAGTTTGGGCACTGTGACTGACCTGGGCACTGTGACTGACCTGGGCACTGTGACTGACCTGCAGCTATGCAGCCCCATACACAGCAGGGCTCAGTGCCTTGTGACATATTTCTCCCGTGATACTCATCAGAATTATCTGTGACTTGTGCCAGAGTAGCCCTTCTGTTGGTTTGTACCAGACAGGATACCTATAGTCACATCCCACATCACCGAGTCCTGACTACCCTATTCCCTGTTGACGGTTCATGGTTTTTCCATCCTTGGTCCACTCTCAATAGGTTCTGACCGCAGCAGCCCGTCAGCATCCCACAAGCCTTGCCGTTTTAGAGGTCCTCTGACCCAGTCATCTGATCATAATGATTTGGCCCTTGTCACAGCCACTCACATCTTGGATCCCTGTCCATTTCGTCTGCATACAACATGTCGATTACGAGTACTGAATGTTAGCTTACTATCTAATATATCCCAGAACTTGAAATACAAGTTTTTTTTTACATTTTTTAGTTCACATGAGAGTAGTTAAAATGTAACAGCTCATTGGTGTATAGATGTCTGTATGTCTTAAAGGAGAGAAAAGAAAAGATCATTTGATTTCCCTGTGCTTTTTTGGTGAAGGTCTGTGCTGAACATGCCACTGTGATGAATAAGCAGTTATGGAAAATGGATGGATGGATGGATGGTCATAGCAACATGTGTGAAATTGCAAAAAAAAAATATATGACTTTATTTGATTGCTTTGTTTACTGTTCACAGGTAGCTACTTTGCCCGGGATGCAAAATATTCACATGGCTACACCAAGTCCTCAGGAATCAGGACGATGTTTGTGTGCCGCGTGCTGGTGGGGGAGTACACCGAGGGGGACTCCAGCTACCTCCGGCCGCCATCGAAAGACGGCGGTGACGTCCATTTCTACGACAGTTGCGTGGATGACATCAACGATCCCTCCATCTATGTGGTGTTTGAGAAATACCAGGTGTACCCCGAATACCTCATCCAGTACTATGAGGACATGTTGTGTCATCCGCATGGTGCCTATAACAACTACTCAAACGTACCACTGAGGCCAAGAGCGGCTCCCCAGCCAGCCCCCAATGCAGCCCCTTCTCCTTCATACTCAAACATAAACTCAAGTGCCAGTACAAGCACCTCTGATTCAAACAGCTCCTGTGTCATCAGTTGATTCTTCTTAACTTTGTGCAGACTTACTAAAATCAATTGGCAATGAGGGTTTAAGCTGTATGTGTAACAGAAAAGCTGGATCTAAACAATTCACTACTGGAAATCCTGTAATCGGTTTGGTAGTATTTTAAGATACGTATCATATGTTGTGATTTTCAAAAATCTGTGCATCCCAGATGCTAGGTGTTTAGTAAACATGCGCCAAAGAGAAAAACTGAACTGCTGTTATAACTGCTGGGATTTATTATTCTTAAAGTATGTTTCTTTAAAAAAAATATTTTGGCTTGCAGGCAAAATAACACGTCACAATGGAATTATGTCCATTTTCACCAAAACTGTGCCTTTAGAATATGCTACGAATACTTTTTAGAATAGGATTTGTTTTCTGGTATTTTTTCCATGTTAATATGGTTTAGGAAATACAATGTCATATTTCTGAAATGGAAGGAGACCTTAATCATTTCAGCACTGATAAATGGCTTGACTGTGTCTGTGATAATTAACCAAAATGTCTGTTTGACTATGGTGCACATAAATTTATATGTGAGGATCATGCATTGCAGGTTCTACCAGTTTACCAAAGAATGGGTTTACAGTAATAATTGCTGTTTTAACATGAAATGGTTTATGTCTGTGAATGGAGGGGCACGGGTTCGAATCCTGTGGCCGAGAGAGTTATCACTGTGGGGCCCCAGAATGAGGCCCCGAGCCCCTAGTGCTCCAGAGACAGGCTGACCCTGTTTCCGCAATAGAACGTCACTTTGAATAAAAACGACTGATAAATAAATTGATGTAAGTGTAATAGAAATTGACCTTCATCAAGAGATTTGGGTGAAGCTAAGTTTACAGTTGTTGTTATCTAGAGATGATGCAAAACATCTTTTGATTTTTTTCCTGAAGATATGATTTGGATTTATTATGGAATATCTGAAGGAAGTTAAGGTAAAATATACATTCATACTTATCAATTTGCATGAACGTTTATGTAATTCAGGGCAGTGCGATGATGAGGCTGTTCTGAACTGTGTTGTACATATTTTGTTTATTTCTTCAGTGCTTTCAGATTTCTTTGATGGAAAATTTGACTGTGGTGAGTAAGAATTGAATATGCATTTTTCTTTGCTGGGAACTCCTAAAATAATCAACCTATACGACTGGAGGATATTGCACTCCTGAGGATATCTTGAGCTAGGATTAATTGAAATGCAGATTTACTGTAAAACAAGCCCAACATGTTCACCTTCAACACTGTTTTTAAGAAAGAGAGAGACGCTACCAGTGTCCTGCCAGACACAAGCCATCAAATCCTGCATGGTTCAGTGAAGCAGTCATTAAAGGCTAAAAGTGAGTTGTTTATATTCTGGAAGGAAATTTGTTCTGTTTATCAAATCAACTGTCTTGGTAGTTGGTTGTTTAAAAATATGGTTACATATTTTTCCTAAAGGATACAATATTTTCCTTATTAGCGTTGATTGTGTTTACTGTAGGATAAATAAAGCATATAACCTAAAGTAATGTCGTTGTCACTTGAATTCAAGATTTTTGCATCCGTTCCATACATTTTAAGTCTTACCAATTTCTGATTGCTCAAGAGATCCCTGCATATCAAACATTTAGAAATGGAAACCAGTGTCAGAACTACAGGACATGTACTGTAATAGATTTCTTGGAGCACTTGTAAGATTCTATAACAGGGCATGTAGAAGGCAGGACAGAGCATCTGTCTAATGAGCATCTACTGATGCCTACAAAAGTACCTGAAATATGCTGCCCAGTTCTGACAGGATGAGGAAGGTTGGTGAGGAACAAGTAAGCAATGTCTTCTGTTTAGGAAGTGTCAAATTTGGAGTGTAATTTTGGGAGTATAATTTTGAGATGCAAACTTTCTTGTCTTATTCTGGTTTGCTTCATGACTGCTCTCCTCCATCTGGCAAGCTGCTTCCTCCTACTGTACCAAGGACTCAGAGTCTATCTGGTTTGTCCTTCAACAGAAAAACATTCCCTCACATTCACTGCCTGTTCACAAAACAATATCAGTTCCTCTTAAGGTTACTGCCATAGCAATAGTATGAGCAGTTTATCTAAGCCAATTTGCACTAACAGGAAGCCGTGGAAATGACATAATATAGACAGTGTTCCTGTAATTGCTGCGTGGATGTTAAGCTTGCACATCAGGATATGTATCCACTTGTGGCTTATTGATTGTGCAAATGTCTATGACCACTGTGTTCATATTCAGCTCTGTATCGGTCTAAAGGTCACGTTTAACTTTAACTCTAAAACACAGATAAGCACGGTCATATGAGTGTGATTATTTGAGATGGCTTAACACCAGGAGTCTCTTACATACACACAGCTCTTCGTACCTCTAGGCTCAAGGTAACCATCAGTGTTCTGCAATGGATTGGCCTCCAGTTCAGGATTAAGCTGCGTCTCTTACATTCGCATATCTCCTAGGAACTGGATCACTGCAACACAAAGGGTGAATAGAAATAGACAGTTATGTTAATAAATGAAAACTGGTATTCTGCCATTTTGTGCTGTGGCATGCTAGAAGGCTCTCGTCAGGCTTAGAAAGACGATGCTCAAATTGCAATCTATAACTGAATTTGGTATTTGGGCTGACTGGTCTACTGCCATTCTTTCATTCTTTCATGACGTCCATCCATATTTAATCCTTGCATATCTAACACAAGATCACAGGCAGGACAAACACAAGGCATGACACACTCGTCTTACGATGACGATCCATAATCCTGCTATTAGAAGAGTATATAAATTCATATGCAAACTGAATATACAGCTTTTTCTCTGACTCTACACTGTAAGATGTATATGGATTTCTCATATGCATAAACATTTTTGTTGACCCATGCAGTACACTGTGTACCTCTCATCTGACAGATAATTTTAAAGCTGATTATTTTAATACACAAGGTTCTAATTATTTATTTATATTTATTTTATTTGGTTGAGGCCACTCTCCAAATTTACATACTAGTGAGGCAAAGAGTATATTGTAGGGCCAGCAGGGGCGCATGCCCCAGCATGCCCTGCATGCAAGTGTAAATAGCCCTTGTTGTTGATGGTTGCATTTACTTATTGTCATATGTGTTTGCCCCTGTCTTGTGTAGACCCTGTCCGATCCTTGCATATCCTTAGGTTGCATAACTCCCCCACTGTGTGTGTACCTTGCAGTTCAGCGTCGGAGAACCTTGTGTTTCCCATCTGAGTACTTGGTTCGGTGCTCGTTGGGTGCCTGTTACAGTCCTGTTACTTCTATGCTCCTGTGATGCCTTGGTCTGCCCAGAGCTACAATATAAAAAACATACAGTTGTCAAGGAATGAAATCGATATAAGTCTAATGCTACTTTCCATTTAGCTCAGAGGTTGGAAGTTAGAGCTAGGAATGACGTCACACCTGAGTTAACTGCGTTCCAGTACAAGAAGTCAGAAAGTCATTTGGCAATACCAGGAACATTTCAAAAAGCAGGATTTCTTGGTTAGCTGGACAACTTGTCAGATTTAAGGTACTCCAGTTTAAATGGCCTTTATCTTTGTTCACTTACATTTAGCCCAGACTACCTTAAATCCAACAAGTTATCCGGCTAAACAAAAAAACTTGCTTTCTGAAACAGGCCCCAGGTTCATCGTTAGCCGTTGTTAGCAATATCAGTTAATAAAAACGCATTACGCCATATTTTGCCCATTCAAACACCTAGCAACATGTCCTACAAAATGTCCACTCGTGGGGGTGGTGATCGATCACATCTGAGCCTTTAACCCCCAGCTCCAGGGGCACCACACATTGGCTAACTCTGCTCTGTGACCCCCAAACAAGCTATGTGGGATAGGTGAAGAGAAGCATTCCAGTGTACCTGTACTTCCGAGTTCATATGGAATGCATTACTAATTCAGTAATTCTATGAAATTACTACTGATTGGTTAAATTTGGACTGTCTTTCTTGGTTGGGTGGACGATACGTTTGGGTGAGCACTGCGACCCCCCCCCCCCCAAACAAAGATAAGGGCCCCCCACTTCCCAACCATAGCCACGCCCCTGAGACTAAAGCTGTTGGTTTATTACAGAAACTGGTTGTTGTAGAAAAAGAATGGATTAACTTGGTTATTAAAGAAATTAGTTTTTGTTTTAATTCTTGTGTCTTGTATCGTGCCTAAAATGTTGTTAGGCAAAAGCAGTAGTATCACGGGCATGGCGTGGTGATCGTCTATAAGACTCATTAGCTGTTTGTCTTTCACAGAAGGTTGCAGGGGTGTGTAACTAGTTTACATGGCATTTCTCTGAGCTGGGAACCAAAGTCCAACAGAAAAAAAACAAACCTTTATTGTCAAAGAGTTTGAATATATGGGCAATAGAAATATGATACATAACCTGTGCTGTTTATGTTTACGTTCGCGCACACACCCTTCCAAATTAAAATACAGGTGCCCACCCAACATTCCCATATATGTCACAACTTGAGGGACGAAGGACGAGGGCAGGTGGTGTGGTGAAACAAAAGGGGTTTATTGAACTAAATGAACAAAGTCTGGAAACAAATAGGACCACGAGGGATCCAAAACAGGACGACTGGACCCAGGGAGGGACACAGGAAGAAGGGCTGTAGCCAGGGTTTGTTAAATAGCGAAGTCCAGGACCCAGGGGTGGGGGTGGGTCTTGCCCCTTCATAAGCCCTGATACCGTCCCCTTCATAAGCTATTTTTTTTTTTATTAGTTACGTGAAACTTTACTTGGCCTAATTTTTTTCAGGTGAATATTTAGCTTCAAATTTTATTTTTAGTTCTTAAAAAATTACCAAGGTCTACACCTCAGTAAGCTCATAGCTGGCTACAGCCCTGGACACAGAAAACAGGAAGGTCCAACATGAATGACCAGACTGCAGCTGATGAGACAAACAGCTACTTAAATACAAGGACTAACGAGGGGTAACAACACCAGGCGTGGCTGAGCAGGGGCACGTTAGGGAGGAGACAGGAGGGTTAGGTGTGCAGGACGTGACACATACAGTACAGTAAACCCAGAACGGTATCCTAGTAACGCCACTGTGTAGCATTAGGAGAAACTGATTAAAATAAATAAATAAATAAATAAATAAAATAAAAACAATCTTTGGTGCTTCCTATTATGGCCTGTGTCAAAGCAATGACTGTTCATTGTCCGCCGTGAAGTTTCTCGGCATGTAGACATACATTTTTAAAGGAATACCGGTTTACTTGCGAAGCTCAGCCTACAGTAATCTGTATCGTTTTATTATTTACTGCAAATATTGGAAGCTGATTCATCATTCTGTTTTTGCAGATATTATATAATGACATAAACCCGGAACAGCACGAGTGAATATCCTGGAGTGTCCGAGGTCTTGGCATATGAAAGATCTTTGGAGCTGGGATTTAGGTTTCGGTTTCCAGCGAAGTCGAGCGCGGCGTTTCCTGTGCTGCAGTTTATCAGCCGCATTTATAGACGGCGTGTCTGAGTATTATTCAGCATAATATTCGCCTTTATAAATCCGAATACAGCACGATGGATGTGTTTATAATGAAAATTATTTGCGGTAATAATGGGGCGATGGACTACGATGAATTGGTTGATATAGGATCTGGCCTGATGGATTTAAAAGGAGTTTTTGACATTGTCTTCGGAAATCCCAGGGACTTTTCTGTTGTTGTTTTTAACGGGAAAAAGAGAGTCATCGCTAAAACAAACGTTAGGCTGTGCAAAGTAGGGGGATGCGTGGACTGCACTAATTTACACCTGTGTAAGTTTTACCTTTACGGAGACTGCAAAGCCAGCAGGAGAAGGTAAGGAGCCGAACTTACAAAATAACAGCTGGGGTTGTTTTTCTAGCTTTTACTTGCGTCATATGATACCATAACTTGGAGACAAAATCTGTACCCTTAATCGGTCTCTTAAGTTTGGTTCTTTATTGTAAACCTGTTATTACATTATTAATAATTTGTTTACGTACTACTTAACTGATATTCTCCACGTGCTCTCGATAATATCGGGTAACACTATTGGTTTTGTTCTTAATAGGGAATTGCACAGGCCGTTGACAAATAAGCCCTTTGGAATTAATGTAGCAATATAAATACATTGGCCAATAATAGATAAAGGTAATGCCAATACCTTAAAATAAAAATGAAAAATATGTTGTGTACAGAATGTAACTTAATATACAAACTGCATGATTTGGGAAACATTTCTTGGGCCCTAATTACATTATTAGGGAATGGTTTAATGTATAAAAACTGCAAGTTATTGTGTATGCGTAGGGTTTTCCATGTATATAAAGATACAGTGCAATAATTTGACCTGTGAACTTTAGCTTTACTGCACTATGTTGACTTTTACTATCATTTAGCACAAAATAAATGTGCATGGTGTAAACCCAAAAGAAAACACAATACAATAACAAAGTGTTTTTCTTGTGTTGCTGATGTGTAATGACGGCACACTCATAACACCATGAAGCTTAATATTGTAGATGTGGCAGGGATGTGGATTGGGCTTCAGGAGAGATGATGGCAGGGGTGAAGCGTGTGTCCTCTATTGCTGACGTGAGCTATCGCCATGTTTCGGGCACAGGAACGGATGCCGTTTTTGCCATGATATGAGTTCGCAGCACAACAGCAAGGTTCTCGTGGAGAATAACCTGCAGCTGCTGGACACCAAGGAACTGCGGACGCTGTTGCTCCAGAACGACAACACCCTCCTGCCTCCGGTAACGTTTGCTTTTAGTGTTTTCTCATTGCGAGTTTTAAACATGAAACGTGCTTTGAGACATGTACTTTTGGAAAGTGGGCAGTTAAATCACAGTAAGGCCCAGTTATGCTAAGATTTTCAGGAGATAAATCCACAATTCCATAGACAAAGTGGCCGTCAAGAAGCCAGGTATGTAACATAGAAATGTGTATACAAAATAAAGTTAGAACTGATTTTTGCAGATGCATGTAAAGAAACAGTCCTGATATAGCACTAGGCTTGAAGTCCAGATGATGTAAGATTTGAACTGCTCAGTGAGATCACATGTCAGAATTCGTGCCCACTGGCTTTCTTTGTGTAACAGCTTCCTGACAAATGGGTCACGTTTCTTATCAGGTGTGTGTCTCGTTCAACGGAGGCAGCAAGGAATACGGAAACTGCCCCGAACAAGCGGCCTGTAGGAGGCTTCATGTCTGTGACAAGTACATCCGGGGAATCTGTGATTCTGGGGCGGACTGCTGCAGGTCACATGACTTCTTTGAGCCCCACCCAATGACCGTCTTGCAGGATAGAGGAATACCCACTGACCTCATCACATCCATGCTGTCTGTCTACCAGAACATAAGGGGCTTGAAATTTAAAAACAATGTGACGAGAGACGGCAGAGACAAGCTGAAACCCGTTTCAGGTCATCATTCATTATATACATTTACAATAGATGGCTTATCAAAAATGTTGAAATGTTTCAGTGACCATTCAGGTAAAAGATTTTCAGATTTAGATTGCAGGGATGTACAGAAAGAACCTTTCTGTGTGCGTTTTGGACAGCTGGACATTAATGCCTGAAGTAAATTCAAATAAAAAGGAGAACATAATTTTCTTGATTGATTCTCAGAGACCACTCTCTCTCACTCTCTTTGCTATAATATTCATTTTCATTTTCTTTCAGAAAAGACTGAGATCTGCCTTTATTTTGTGAAGGGGAGTTGCACACAAGGAGGTGAGAGTATGAATATGTGACTAGCACAGGGCAGCACAGGGTGCCCTGTGCTGCCCTGTGCTGCCTGGGTTAGGCTCTAGGCCCCACCTCCCACAGCTGGTTTGAAAATGGACGGGTCATCAAAATGTTTTAATGTTTTGAAGGGTCTGACCTTCCATAAACTTAAATACAAAATTTGAAGTATGTGTTTTCTGTATGTGTTTCATTTCTCTTAAAGGCAAATGTTGGCGTGTCCATTTCAACATGCCCTACAGATGGGAGGTGCAGGACCAGAAGGGTTGGTCACCACTTCCAAACAATGAAGGAATTGAGAAAGACTATTGTAACCCGGCCATGATAAAGAGGTATATTAAGTCTAATCTGAAACATGATTAAGAAAAGCTCTTGTGAATACTACCGACTCCGGGGACATTAATAATCCTTAGCAAGTAATGCTGATTATCAACTAAGGGACTGAAATTCATAGAAATCTTGTCTTGTTTATTCACTAAGTGCTGTTTTCTGGTTCCTCAGTGAAGGACAGGAGCCTGTGTGTTTTGACACAATGACACAAGGACTGGCCAAAGTGAGACGTCTCTCTACTTTGTCCTCTGTGCAAAGACCTGACTTCATTCTTACCACTGAGTGGGCCTGGTACTGGGAGGATGAGCATGGGAACTGGATCAAATACGGATCGATAGTAAGTTAAAGATGGGTGAAGATCAGAGTCACCTGTTAATTCTTATTCAGTACCAGGCAAAAGTCTGGACACACCTACTGAAAATCATTTGTATAATGATAAGCACATCATGAGGTTCTATAAGTACGGCCCTAAGCACGTACACCATGAGGTTCTCTAAGTACGGCCCTAAGCACGTACACCATGAGGTTCTGTAAGTACGGCCCCAAGCAGACCATAAGGTTCTGTAAGTACTGTATCTTTCTTTGTTCATAAGATAATAGAGTGCTATGGCGGATGGTCAGGTCCCCGCTATCCCCCGACCTAAACTCTACAGAGCTGGTTTTTGGATGAGTTGGATCACAGAGTATGAGCAAGGTAGTCAGCTTGTATCCAGAGTTTTGTGGAAACTCCTTCAGGACTGTTGGAGAAGCATTCCAGGTGGCTGCATCTGGAAGCTGGCTGAAAGAATCCCAAAAGTCTGCAATGCTGTCATTGAAGCAAATGGGGGCTATTTTGAAGAGTGTAAAATCTGAGAAGATTTTGAAATGTTGAATACTTGTCTTGGTCATTGCAATATTTGATATTTGGTATCTCTGCATTGTCTCAAGGCCTTTAATTTTAAGGTGAATAACATACGTAAAATAGAGACAAACACAATAAAAGCAGGTGAGTCCAGACTTTTGACTGGTACTGTGCATTTCAGTGTTACAGTTATATGAAGCGATCTCAATATAACTTTAAGTGAAGAATTAAGGTATAAGAATAACCTTGTTTATTGAGTAGTTACAGCTTTAACTGGAATGTCCGAGGTTAGAGTCATTTGTCATTTTATCTGAAAAAACAGTGGAGGGAACAGAAAGAGAATAGCAGATCTGATAAGAGATCAGTTCCTGCTCTCCCACATTACACAGCCCATATCCCTTCGTACCTGTGACTTGTGACCAATTCATCCAAGTCATTTTACTAACAATTGTTTTAATGGTGAACACGTTAACATTAATAGCAAACATGTTATTTGTGATGACAATTCGGCATCAACACGTTCCTTTCATGTATCTAACATGACGTGACCTGTGCAGCAGCTGAATGAGGGATGCCAAAAAAACTGCAGCCTTCGTATGTGTATATATACATGTATAACGTGTATGTGAGAATCTTTTCAATTATTTCAAATAAACTGCTGTTATTTGCATAGTGTTGATTTTACACGTGTATCTTTTTTACCAGCAGGGAATGCACAGATTGTCAAACATCACCAGTGAGGATCTGGAGAGGCAGTACCTGGAAGGTAACAGCATGGAGGTCAAATTTACTGCTGGGAATCAAGCATATCAAGTCAGTCTGCAAGGTACAGCAATGCAAGCTGAGACCACAGAGCAGAGGCGTTTACAATTATTTAGCAGATTATCTTATCCAATGTGATGTGCCATTGAGAAGGAAGGATCAGACATTGCTTTGCTTAAGGGTCCAGCTATGAAATCAATCTGGGTACCCTGGGATTTGAACCAGCTACCTTCTGATTACGGGCATAGAGTCCTAACACAGCAAGCCACACTCACACAGAGATGCTGCCACACAAACAACAACAAAAAAACATGCTTCCAGGAATTTCACTTTTTTTGTTCGTTTAATTCCATTGATGTTACCAATGAATACCAAATCTAATTAGAAAAATACATGCATCACTGGAAAAGATGTCAGGAGGTGAGAAATGTAGAGCTTTGATGTCAGTATCAGAATCAGAATCAGAATGATTTATTAATCCTGAGGGGAAATTTGGTTTCATTACAGTTGGTCCAGCTAAGAACAGAAGTATGACTAGAATTAAGTAGACATACAATAACAGTAAAATACAGTTATTATAAAAACAATAAAATAGATAAATAGTAGATAAATAATAGATTATTAATTATGAACAAGGTATATAAAAGTGCGTGCAGTTTTACGTCATACCCATCTTGCCGGTTATTCCCAGCTGTGAACTTGAGCTGCGGCACACATTGACCATCTTGGCTTCTCCCTGCACAGATATGTCACAAAGAAACGAGAAGTACAGCACCGTAAGGAGAATCAGGCGCCGTCCTGTGTTCGTGTCATCGGCCGATGCACAGAAGATCAGGACCGGGTAGGTCTGGTCACATGTCATGAAGTGAGAGGAGATAAGAGGCATTTAACCCCAGGGTGAAATATTTGTTGTCCAGCAACATCACAAAATACCAGCACATTAGCCAATAATACAAAAGTGTACAATACAGAGCAGAAGGTAAAAACATGGCTTGTAAATCTGAAAATCTTTTACCTGAAGGTTCTTCTCGAATGTATACTGCTTATAAAAAGTGCTACTTTTGGCATTTTAGCATTGAATGTTAATTTTTGTATTTATCTTGATTGACAGTTTAAATATACAGTATGCACAATGGAAAGCAGATATTAATAATATGATTGCATAGTAAAGATCTACAAGAACATAAAATTATACTTCTTCTCTATGTTTTAACTTCAGCAAAAGACCCAACAACACCCAGAATTTTAAAGCACTGCCAAAATACTGGGATAAGTCTTTGATTCCTGAAACTGGACACAAGGTATACATATATACATGCATTTTTATAATGTGATTCAGGGAATGAAATACTGCCACCTTCTGGAGAAACTGGACAATTTCAAGTTATGCTGGCTAATAGTTATCAATTTTTTCTGTGCCTTTCAAAATCATATCGGAACACTGCACATATGTTGTTTACCCTTGAATGTGATCCTTGTCTATTAATAAATCGCCAGTAGAGTTCAGTGCTGAGCAGAATGTAAACTATGGAGACCACTGTGGATAATGGTGTAAGATATGCAATTGAATAATATGCACATTTAATCATTTATTCATTTTCCCTTGCAGAAAGTTGTGCTGCAGAGTTCAACAGAAGAATATCAGAAAATTCTGGATCTTTTTCAGAAAACGATGCGTGGTTTCAAAATTCATAGCATAGAAAGAATCCAGAATAGATCTCTGTGGGAAGTGTTTCAATGGTATGTATATCCAATGTTTGGAAAAACATTTGTCAGCTACGATATAATCTGAAAACTGTACAATGTATAATTGAGTCTTAAAAATGGTTTTGAGAGCTTCAAAAAATATTTTTTCTGGTTTGAATAGAAATGTGGAAAAGAGTTGTTATTTTGGAGTGTTTTGCTTTTTACACTCAGTGACATTAAACAATTATGAATGTATTCCATTTCAGGCAGAGAGACCAGATGAAAAAAATCAACACTGAAAAATACTCTGTAGAGAGACTCCTTTTCCACGGAACTGACTCCAAACACGTGGATGCCATCTGCAAGCAGAACTTCGACTGGAGGATCTGTGGAACACACGGGACGGCCTACGGCAAAGGTGCCTGCATGATTATGCTTATCTGCAAGCATTACTGTGTTATCTTTGCTGCAGGCTAGTTCATACTTACTTATGACCATCTGGCACGTTCTTTGACGGTTACGAACACGTATTTCATTTTAGTTTGTAGCCATATAGAACTTTATAATCCCGTACCAAGGAATCATATGAATGCCGGTACCAAGGCTTCTCACTTTATGATGGTTCAACAATGGCAAGGTAGTGATATATATTCACTAGTCGTCACATGCCTGGCATCTCGATTTTTCATCTGTTCCCAGGCTTGTGTTATGCTGTACGATAACTTCTGCTAATGCGGGGCAATGGCAGCATCCACCAAGCCACAGTCCCACCTGTCCACAGTTTGTCCCCTAGAGATGTGTTGGTTGCGAACTAATCAAGTGGGCTGTTTTATGTGAACGACAGGAGCCGGTTTCCATCTGGCCAGCAAGCAGCGATATGTCTTTAGGACGTCCTGTTTCGGTCTGGATGATGTCCTCAAAGGGTGTTCTTAGGACATACAAATACAAAGTTTTTTTTATACCCTGAAAACGACTTTAAAGGATGTTCTAAGGATTTCTAGAGTATGATAGACATTTTAAGGACATTCTCAATTCTCAACCAATTATGGACATTTTGAGAGCATAGTATGGACATTAAACCCATGCATATCCATGTTTATAAATGATTAATATTTAACATTTTAGTGGTACTGCAAGAGAGAGAAACAAGGGACAACTTCCCTCACATGGCTGCATCATTTCCCATTTTACCATTGTCCGTAAGACATTCATAAGATGCCCCTGTCACTATGAAAAATAAAGATATCCTTCAAAAACAATTTATCATGACAGATCGCAGCAATAGCTTTTAAAATGACTTCATTTTATTTGAAGTATTTCTTTGCTTATTAATGTTCCATAGGACATTCTTTCACAATATACAAGGGACAGCCAGAGGACATACCACCCTAATCCCAACCCTAACCCTAACCCTTTATGGGGATGTCCATAGGGCAACTGTGTTACTATGAAAAAGAACATTTCAAAATAAATTTATTATGACAGCTTACAGGAACAGCATTTAAATATCACATTGTATAATGTTTACAGTGCAGATCATTGACATTAGGTTTGGCAATGAGTAGTTTACTACTGCTAAACCTAGTCCACTCATGCAGAATGAAATTACATTGGTGTGATGTCTAAGTCTGAGTCTGATCCAATTCTTACCCTATCGTTATCTTAGTGGTTATTTCACAGATAAGCCTAGTAACCCTCACCCCCTGAAAAAGAAAAATGAACGGCTCTCAGAAAGGAACGTAACCATAAGATCCGGCTCCTTTCAAAGAGCCATTTTTCCCATCACTAAAATGATCTGGCTCACTACAAAGACTTCCCATGACTTTCATCAGTGATCTTTGTCTTCTGGAGAAGCTTTTCGTAATGTGAAGTCAATCACAAAACCAGGAACCATCAGCCAATAGCACTTGCCAACAGAAACAGCCATGACACTACCCCCAAACTATCAAAACCACCCCCATGTCAAAACTTGAGGGAAAAAATTTCACTTTGCTCATAAAAATCTTCTTTCTATGCTCGCAAATTTCACATTTGCACTCACGAGTAGAACATACATGCTCTCAGGTTTATATTTTTCATGTTGTGTTTTATCACCGTTTGGTTTTGACATGCAACTTGCGATATGTCCAGCTAACAATGGCTTCTGTGGAGTGTAACCCCAGTGTATGCCAAGGAGCTTCTGTATTTCTAGACATCCTCATTCAACCTTCCTTCAAATCCTCTAGCCATGTTTGTTTTAGTCTGATCAGGGTAGAAAAGGTGTTTAGATATCATTTTTGATCTGACTTTCTTTCTGACTTTCTGTTACTGTTCCCTGGCTAATGAACAGTCCAGGCACATTTGCATCACAGAATGAACCATTCACGTTGTTTTAATTTTCGAGTGGTACTTGGCCACACAACCACCATTGCACCACAGTATGTCCGTGTAGCTGTTGTGTCTGCACGTGTAATAAGTATGAACCAGCCTTAACAGTAGCTGTATTTGTAGTACACAAGTCAAACTAGAAGGTGGAGTAATGTAAGATCATCAGAATATTATTTGTCCTAATTATGTGTTTACAGGTGCATTCTATACTGCGAGTTCGATTTTTGTGCTAAAAAGTAGACGCTGTTGGTAAATTAAAATAATAATAAAAAACATTTTGTTTTTCTTTCCAAATATTGTGAAAATGTTTAGAGATTTTGAATATGAAATTGTATTTTTTTTCTTACTTTCAGGCAGTTACTTTGCCAGGGATGCCAAATACTCACACAGCTACACCAGCTCTTCAGAGCTGAAGACTATGTTTGTTTGTCGAGTGCTGGTGGGAGAGTATACTAGAGGAAGCCAAACTTATGTCCGCCCGCCCTCAAAGGATGGAGGAGACACCATTTTCTATGACAGTTGTGTGGACGATGTCAAAAATCCCTCAATATTTGTGGTGTTTGAAAAGCACCAGGTGTATCCTGAATACCTAATCAATTACGATGAAGATATGTGGTCTTCATCTACAGTGACTGTGCAGACAACCCCCTCCTTGCAATATCCAGTGCCAGCCAGTACGGCCTATTCTGTGTTCTCCAGTCCAGTCCAAGCTCCTCCTTCAACCAGTGCCACTTCCTCTGCATTGTCCAACCAACTGCAAGCTCCTCCTTCAACCAGTGCCACTTCCTCTGCATTGTCCAACCAACTGCAAGCTCCTTCTTCATCCAGTGCCACTTCCTCTGCATTGTCCAACCAACTGCAAGCTCCTCCTTCATCCAGTGCCACTTTCTCTGCATTGTCCAAACAACTGCAAGCTCCTCCTTCATCCAGTGCCACTTCCTCTGCATTGTCCAAACAACTGCAAGCTCCTCCTTCATCCAGTGCCACTTCCTCTGCATTGTCCAACCAACTGCAAGATCCTTTTTCATCAAGTGCCACTTGGTCTGCAGTCTCCACTGGGATGCCAGCTTCTGCGTCATCCACTGCCATTTCTTCCAAGTCATCAGTAAATGTTAGACCTACACAGCTTAACTGGACCTCCAATTCAACACAGTCCTTCTCTAGCACAAACCCTAGCTCATCAAAATCATTATCATCCCCTACACACAACACCACTACTCAATACTCTGGAAGCACTTCATCATATTCATTTAACCAAGCTGGCTCAAAAGGCACCTTGACTCACTCAACCACTCAGGTAGGTTCAACAGTCACCTTGATTCACCCAACCGCTCATGCTAGCTCAGTGGGCAACTTGATTTACCCAACTGCTCAGGCTAACCCAATAGGCACTTTGATTTGCCCAACTGCTCAGGCTAACCCAATTTGCCCAACTGCTCGGGCTAATCCAATAGGCACCTTGATTCGTCCAACTGCTCAGGCTAACCCAATAGGCATCTTGATTCATCCAACTGCTCAAGCTAACCCAATATGCACCTTGATTCACCCAACTGCTCAAGCTAACCCAATATGCACCTTGATTCACCCAACTGCTCAGGCTAGCCCAAGACACACCTTGATTCAGCCAACCGCTCAGGCTGGCTCAATACGCAACTTGATTCACCCAACTGCTCAGGCTAACCCAGTAGGCACCTTGATTCACCAAACTGCTCAGGCTAGCTCAGTAGGCACCGTGATTCGTCCAACTACTCAGGCTAGCTCAATAGGCACCTTGATTCACCCAACTGCTCAGGCTAACCCAATAGGCACCTTGATTCACCCAACTGCTCAGGCTAGCCCAAGACACACCTTGATTCATCCAACTGCTCAGGCTAGCTCAATAAGCACCTTGATTCGCCCAACCGCTCAGGCTAGCTCAATAGGCACCGTGATTCGTCCAACTGCTCAGGCTAGCTCAATAGGCACCTTGATTCATCCAACTGCTCAAGCTAACCCAATAGGCACCGTGATTNGCACCGTGATTCGTCCAACTGCTCAGGCTAGCTCAATAGGCACCTTGATTCATCCAACTGCTCAAGCTAACCCAATAGGCACCGTGATTCATCCAACTACTCAGGCTAGCCCAATAGGCACCTTGATTCACGCAACCACTCAGGCAGGTTCAACAGTCAGTTTGATTCACTCAAGCACACAGGCTAGCCAAATAG